TGTTCAAAACCTAAAATCTTTTTTGCGTCCCTCTCAAAATTACTTTGTTTTAGCTTTATTCTCTAGTTTATAGAGTTAGCAACCTTTTTAAATGCATCTGCCGGTTGAGAAACATAAAATAATAGTTAAAAATTGTCAATTAAAATACAATTATCAAAGATGCTTTAAAATTGACGCCATATTTACAGCCATATATTGCAAAACTTCAGGCGTCATTTTCTCTTTGGCGTATCATCTAAAATCTCTTCATTTTAGCATTATTTTACAGATAAAGCACTAAACATACTTTTTAAGTTTGTTTGCCGATTGAGAAACGTATCGAAAAATAAAAATTTTGAATTTAGTCATAACCTCAAGTGGTATATTAATACGCATTAGTTTTGAGCGCGTGTTACGTTACATACAAAAAATCTCTTAAAACCCTTCAGCTATTTAAAAACAGCACTGATACTCAAGAGAAGCTCAGATTGAACCTCCACTCATTGAGTGTGAGTGAGCTTTTAGAATACGGGCGTATATTTGCTTCACTGTATGTACTCATATTTCTGACATGAAAGAAAATAAAATCAGTTTAATAGTATATCTTCTACATACAGTTCACCGGAATTGGACGACCATAGTTCCCCAAGCAAAAATGTCTCCACGACACGGGAATCGGAAGGAGACGACGCCAGCAGCGTGTTCTCTGATGACAGTTTAAGAAACAATCATCGTCGAACGAGGAGAAACTCTTCGGAAAGTTTGGCGAAACTGAGACGATATCGCACTTCGAAATGGAGATCAAGTATTGAGAGTTTAGGATCTGAGACTGATTCACAAACTGATCGTAAGTTCATTAGTTTGAACTAATTAACAAAGTAATTAACTATAAGCGGAAACTAGTTAGTCTTTCAGCTAGTTAAGTACTTAAACGCTGTTCGAATGGAGACGAAAGTTGGCCAGCGAAAGTTTGCATAAGGCTCAAACTCATGAATAATTTATCATGAGTAAATTAGCCAACCATATTGCTTTATTTTGCTCACATGATAATTAACAGTTATTCTACGAACTCGAGTCGAATATGAGCTGATAGCCGATGAGGCGCGTAGCGCCGAATCGGCTATCGCTCATATTCGACGAGAGTGAGTGGAATAACTGTTTTATTATATACACATGGTCTGAATTCACAGACTTTGCTTTTCGAATATTTTCAGTATTTTTCTATTTTGTTTATGTTTTTATCTTCGCTCTTTCGGCCGATTATTTTTTCAAAAATATATATTTTTAACCATTTTAAATATTAAAAATTTATTTGCTAACCTGAAAACAATTTGTGGGAGTTTTTTCATTGTGTTTTTAATCCCGTGAAGGCTATAAAAAGCGACAACTTGCCGTTTTCTCGTTTGCAAAACATCGTAAATTCAGTTTGGCCGCCATTTTGTTTTTCTCTACTAGCAGGATATGAGCTAATATCCTGCTAGTAGAGAACCAATCAGATTGCAGAATACCTCATATCCAGACCTTGTGTATAGTATATAATAATACTGGATACCTGGTGAAGTATATTGATTCAGTCCTAGGACTAGCCTCCTCCGCAGGCAACTCTTGAAACACATGAGGGATAGTCAGGGATAGTTGATTTGATAGTTACAGTAAGGGATAGTTGACGGATACTAGATCAAAATTAATTCACCTCACTTTAAGCATTCTGTGCTTTAAGTAGTGATTTATTCGTATGAGATGTCATTTCAAATCTTTCAATCCGGACTGGACTATAGATTTCAAGTTTTCGCATTTTGATCCATTGATCAAATTGCGTGGACTTGAAATCTAATCCAGTCCTTGTCCAGTCCTCGTAGTTGGATTTGAAAGCTTGTTCAGTTGTGTATGCGTGTGTAAGGTTTCTATATCTCACTTGGTTTGTTTTATTTAAAGGTAGCGAATCATGTTTTGGGGTCTGTTCTCTGCTGTCCCGGATGTTTCAGTGTTTACAGAGCAAAAGCATTAAGAGATGTGTTGGGATTGTATTCAACGACCGCTGATCATGCTGTGGACTTCCTTACCAAGGATATGGGTAAGATCTCTGCAGATTTTGATCGATCAGTGTTTGGTTGGACTGGATGGTACCAAAATTCATAGAATAAGCAGAATATTCGAAAACACCCTGGTCAAAAATTTATACAACCAATCAATGTAAATATTGAAAAGATCCCCTGGCCGCGTTGACCAAAACGTCGCTTGGGCCAAAAAAAAAAATATGTGGGTTTCCGGTTTCTTCTTATAAAAACTTAGGTAGGGTAGGTCGGTTTTAACTTTTTTTTTTAAACTTTTAATTTTCCGAATAAGCGGACGCCATTTTGTTTAGTCAGTGCTTCCACATCCAAAGATAAATTTCCCCAATATTGCCTCAAATTTCAATTTTCCACAAACTTTGTCCTCTAAGTGGAAACACTTACAAGCATGATCCAATAAAAAAGTTTAGGGTCGGGATTTCGACGTCCAGGAGCTAGGTAGGGTCGGGAAACCGGAAACCCACATATTTTTTTTTTGGGCCTTGTTTAAAGATGATGTCCACTCCTGTGCACATTCGCGAACTTTGTTTGTTTGAACTGCTATATTTGTAAAATATTGATATACTAACTGAATATCTAACACTTTTCTAGTTCGCTATACTTGTAAATGAATATAAACTATATGTTTCAATTCAAAAAAGTTCGAAAGATGCAAAATTTGGGCAATGTTTATATCTGGGGGTCCCCTTTGTTATGAGCAGAACTGATGCGCAGAACGGAGTGGACATCATCTTTAAGCTCGCGCTATTAGCCTGCAATGTCCGAACACCTATACACAGTTGAGCGACAT